GGGGGGGGGGGGTGTGTGTGAAACTGCCATACGTCTTCCCACTTACTCTGCTGATTCCCAGGAGACTGGAAAGACTCCACATGGCTGATTTTCTGCTGGTTCTAGCTGGATGAAGCAGTTCTCATTTCTAGGCCTACTTTCAATGTCTTTGTGGAGTTCCAAGATCCTGTTGTTGTTCCCAGGCCTGCTCTGCAAAGGCTGGGTGAGGGGATACTTCTCCCAGATATGAACTCCCTTTGTCTAATACTGTGGGTATAAGATGGCTCTTAATGACTGAGCAGACTTGATCCTGTTGAAGATTTAATAAACAATTGAAGGTGGGGCTGTACAAGACAAACTTGTCTGGCTAAGAGGACCAGGTTCTTGGCTTTGTGTGAAACTTCATTGACATTAGGACTGGAAGGGACCTCAGAAGATCATAGAGTCCAGCCCGCTGCCCTAGGGGCAGGAAGTCAGCAGGGGTCATAGGATCCCAGCAAGATAAACATGCAAATTTCTCTTGAAGGCATTCAGAGTAGGTGCTTGGACCACCTCCGGTGGCAGTCTATTCCACACCTTGGGGGCTCAGACAGTAAAGAAGTTCTTCCTTATGTCCAGCCTGAAACAGTCCTGGAGGAGTTTGTCACTGTTTGACCTTGTCATCCCTTGGGGCGCTTTGGTGAACAGACATTCCCCCAAATCCTGGTGAGCACCCCGTATAAATGTATAGGCAGCCACCAGGTCATCCCTGAGCCTGTGCTTTTTCAGGCTGAAGAGTCCCATGGCTCTCAGCCTGTCATCATAAGGCCTATTCTCTTGTCCTCTGATCATGTGCATGGCTCTCCTCTGGACTCTCTCAAGGTTCTCCACATCCTTTTTGAATTGTGGAGCCCAAAACTGGACATGGCCTTGGTGAGGCTGCAGCTGGAGTACCAAGTAAAATGGGAGAATGACGTCCTGGGATTTGCTTGAGAAGCATCTATGGATGCAAGCCAGTGTTTTGTTCGCTTTACTAGCTGCAGCATCACATTGAAGGCTCATGTTCATCTTGTGGTCAGCCATGACCCCCAAGTCCTTTTCATCCATAGTGCTAGCCAGCATAGCACTGCTGAGCCTATAAGCATGCTGTGGGTTTTTCTTCCCAAGGTGGAGAACTGTGCATTTTTTGATGTTAAACACCATCAGGTTCTTGTTTGCCCATTTCCTGAGCCTGTCAAGGTCAGCCTGGATCACCCTCCTGTCCTCAGGTGTGGACGCTTTACCCCAAAGTTTGGTGTCATCGGCAAACTTGGCCAGTCCACTTCTGGTACCAGTGTCCACACCATTAATGAAGATGTTAAATAGTGTTGGCCTAAGGACAGAGCCTTGAGGGACTCCACTGGTCACAGCACACCATGATGATTGACTTCCGTCAGCCACCAACCATGGAGCCAATTCCCCAGCCAGTGGATTGTGGTGAAGCTGAGGCCATAGTTGGCCAGTTTTGCTAAGAGGTGATTATGAGATACCAGATCAAAGGCTTTTTTAAGGTCACGATATACAACATCAATCACTTCTCTTGTCTAGGTGATAGGTAAGAAGAAATCTCTCTTTCATTGTAGGACTTCAATTCCAGCAGTACAAAATTGTCTTCTGGATTTGTTACTGAGTTTGTTCAAGGATGTTGCTTATGCTCACCCTTCCCCATCCCAATCCGTCTTGCATTTATTCATTTCTAAAAGACCAGTCTATTTTTAATTGACTAGAAGTGCTGGAGGCCCTAGAGTATTCTCAGAAGTGAGGAACCTGGGCCCTCCATAAGATCTAAATTTAGTCCCAAGAGCCCTGATGCACCTGATATTTGAATCCAAAAATGCTTGTTCACTTCTGCCCATAAAGGTAGCTTTCTTGGTAGATGCCATTTTGACTGGCAGGGTTGGAGAGATCCAGGCACTAAAGGCAGATCCTTGGTATACAGGCAACCCCTGCTTAATGGTGTTTCACTTAGCGCTATTTTGCTATAACGCTCATTTAAAATTGATAGCTGATTTCACTTAGCACTCAGCAAGTTTTGTTATAACACTCATGGTTACCATCTTGGGTCGTTGAAAACAATTGTGGTCACCATCTTGGGTCGTCGGCTACTTTCGGTTTTGCCTAATGCTAGTTTCACTTAATGCTCTGTTTTTCAAGAACGAATTAAGAGCGCTGAGCAAGGGTTCCCTGTGCTATATTCTTCCCAGATAAAGGTCTCTGGACTCATTCCAAGTTTCTGACCGAAGTGATCATGGAGTTCCAGTAAGACAGCAAATGCGTTTCCTGGTGTTCTTTCCAGAACCGTAGTTCTTCAGAAAAGAGGCATTATGTTGTATAAAATGATAAAAGGGCTTTCTTTTTCTAAGCACAAAGAACCAAAGGCTTTCAATCTTCACCCAGAGGCTGGGTGGGTATTGGACTGTGGGTCAAGGTAGAGCCTACAGTAAAAGTTTAAAGCTTTTTACCAGTGTTCAAGTAACATTGGTGGCCTCCTTCAAGAATTCCTTCTTTTTTAGACATCTTAAAAAGACATCTGGAGCTTCAGTCACTTCTTGACTAAATGCTGAGTCTTCATTGAAGCTTCTAGATTTGCTGCAGTGATCTGAGACGTTGTCATGCAATTGTTGTCTAGCCTAGACTCCTAAAACCCATCCTCAAGTGAATGGGTTATGGTTTTAAAGTTATCTATGCTAAAACACTAATATGGGAAGTAGTGAAAGGAGAAAGAGACATTACTTTTAGTAAGTGGAAGTGTTACTTGTATACACATTGGGTGCACCTACGCATGCTTTTAATCATAGAATCATAGAAAATTAGGGTTGGAAGGGACCTCAGGAAGTCATCTAGTCCAACCCCCTGTTCAAAGCAGGATCATCCCCAACTAGATGATTCCAGCCAGGGCTTTGTCAAGCTGGGCCTTAATCTCCAAGGATGGAGATTCCATCACCTCTCTCTCCGTAACCCGTTCCAGTATTTCATCACCTTCCTAACGAGAGAGAGTTTTTTCTAATACCTGCCCTAAACTTCCCTTGCTGCTACTTGAGACCATTGCTCGTTGTTCTGTCATCTGCCAACACTAAAAACAGTCTAGCTCAGCTGGATCAGGCCCATGGTGAAACATATTTTGTGAAACTGCACTTTTAGAGAGAGGTAAGGGCTTGTCTCTCTGCAAGCTTGTGTACACAAGAGCCAATAGTCTGATGGATGGAGATGGAACAGGGGCTGGCTTCCCAGATTAAGAACAACAAGAAGTCCTTTTTTAAATACATAGGGAGTAGAAAGAAGGCCCCAGGAAATGTGGGGCCCTTGCAGGACAAGACGGGGAATCTGGTTGTCATGCCAGATGACAAAGCCAACATATTTAATAACTTCTTTGCCTCTGTCTTCCTCAGTAAGGACCAGAACTGCCACCTCCCTGCTGGGCCCCCTTCGGGCCCCGGGGGGGGCTCACCTGGGCCTAGAGTGAGTGAGGATTTAGTTAGGGAGCTTCTGGAGGGGCTGGACGTTTTTAAGTCAGCCGGCCCGGATGATCTTCACCCTAGAGTCCTGAAGGAACTGGCTGGGGTCATTGCAAGTCCCCTGGCACGGCTTTATGAACACTCGTGGTGCTCTGGAGAGGTGCCGGAGGACTGGAAGAGGGCCAACGTGGTTCCCATCTTCAAAAAGGGGAGGAAAGAGGACCCGGGGAACTACAGGCCAGTCAGCCTTACCTCGATCCTGGGCAAGCTGTTCGAGAAAATTATTCTGGCACACATCCAGGAGGGGCCAGCAGGGAACTGCATGCTCAGGGGCAACCAGCACGGGTTCATCAGCGGCAGGTCCTGTCAGACCAACCTGGTGGCCTTTTACGACCAGGTCACTAAATCATTGGATGCAGGGGTGGCAGTGGATATAGTTTTCCTAGACTTCAGGAAGGCTTTTGATACTGTCTCTCACCCCATTCTCATTAGGAAGCTGGGGGACTGTGGCGTAGACACCCATACAGTCCAATGGGTCGCCAACTGGCTAGAGAGTCGCACCCAGAGGGTGGTAGTGGATGGGTCCTTCTCGACCTGGAAGGACGTGGGAAGTGGGGTCCCACAGGGCTCGGTCCTTGGGCCCGCCCTGTTCAACATCTTCATCAGTGATTTGGATGAGGGGGTGCAAAGCACCCTGTTCAAGTTTGCTGATGACACTAAGATGTGGGGGGATGTGGGCACAATAGAGGGGAGCAACAGGCTACAGTTGGACCTAGATAGGTTACAAGGATGGGCGGAGGAGAACAGGATGGGGTTTAACACAGACAAGTGTAAGGTGATGCACCTGGGGAGGAACAATCGGCACCATACATACAGGCTGGGGAACTCCCCTCTTGTCAGCACGGAGGTGGAAAAGGATCTGGGAGTCATTATTGACTCCAAGATGAACATGAGTCGGCAATGTGGGGAGGCGGCTAGGAAGGCCAACTGCACCTTGTCGTGCATCCACAGATGCATCTCGAGCAGGTCCAAGGAGGTGATCCTCCCCCTCTATGCGGCACTGGTCAGGCCGCAGCTGGAGTACTGCGTCCAGTTCTGGGCGCCGCACTTTAAGAGGGATGTGGACAGCATCGAGAGGGTCCAGAGGAGGGCCACTCGTATGATCAAGGGACAGCAGGGTAGGTCCTATGAGGAAAGGTTGCGGGACCTGAACCTGTTCAGCCTTCAAAAGAGAAGGCTGAGGGGGGATCTTGTGGCCTGTTATAAACTGGTTAGGGGGGATCAGCAGGCGCTGGGGGAGTCCCTGTTCCCCCGAGCGCCGCAAGGAGTGACCAGGAACAACGGTCACAAGCTGGTGGAGGGAAGGTTTAAGCTGGACATCAGGAGGCGCTACTTCACGGTGAGGGCGGCTGGGGTCTGGAACCAGCTTCCAAGTGAGGTGGTGCAGGCTCCCACCCGGGGGGTTTTTAAGAGGAGGTTGGATGACCACCTTACTAGGGTCGTTTGACCCCAGTACTCTTTCCTGCCATGGCAGGGGGTTGGACTAGATGATCTGCTTAGGTCCCTTCCAACCCTAGAAACTATGAAACTATGGATATATAATCAGGTCTGTTATCTCTCATCTCCATATACTGCTGTTAACAAGGATGTTAGCTCTGGACACACATCCACAGTTTGAGAACTGAAACTAAGCATCACAAAGATATTTTAATGGGATCTTGTAGACTGAGCAGTGAGTCCCATTAGTAGAGTGGTTTATTTAATCTTTACTAGTCTCTAGAGGAGCCTTTGGGAAACCCATAAGATTGGGCCCCTAATACAGTGCATGGCCTGCTGTGACCTCTTTATAAAACTTTTCAAAAAAGGTTTTGTGAATACATTGTCGCAAATAGTATATAATTAGAGGTTATAAATCCCTGTTTCATGATGATATGTTTGAGGTTTAACATATCTTAAAACTATCTTTATATAAGCTAATTTTAAAAAAAAGCATCTTAACAAAAAAAAATAATAAAAAACATGATTTAAATAAAAATCTGGTTTAAATAAAAAATCCATTATGATGATGTGGTGGTGGTGGTGGTGATTTCATTGGTTGTTTTCCACTCTGGCTGTATGGGTCCTGCTACGACAAACTCTGAACATAAGCAGATTCAACCACTTATAAGCCACTGAACAAAAGCCTTGTTTTGCATTTTACTGTAAACCAGTCAAAAAAAAAATGTTAAAATCTCATGTCTAGCCACTGGATGCTAGGGAATAATTGTTGAAGTTGTGCATATCTGTGGACCAACATATATAGTAAACTAGCAGCATCAGAGGTAAGCCTGTAGACCAGGGGAGTTTGGCCACTGCCAGTGAAATCCCATGTCTGCAGGCAGGATCCAAAAGATTCCTTGGGCTGGATCCAGCGCTTGGGCCATAGGTTGCCAATCCCTGCTACAGAGAATATGAAAGACCTTTGAAGAGATAATACATTCAGTTGATCTTTTACTCTGTGTCTACTTTTTTTTCCCCTATCCTTTAGATATTGGATATTTTTCAATTTGATGTTTTTCCCTCTCTGTATTCTGCAAGCCACACTTTTGAATGACCTAGGAAGAAGTATACATGCCACCTCTTGGACTCCTGCAAAATTTATGTACCCATTTTATTCATTTACTTTAATATTAGTAGCATTTATATTGTGTAACCTTTAAACCAGTGTGTTTTTTCTTTCCTGGCTTCGTAGTGGTGGATATACACACACTAAAAATGAAGAGGTTCCTATGCAGGTTTTAAAACTAATGCATGTTTGTTTCACTTTACCTTTTTAGTTGTACTAATTCCATTAATACTGACCTTTTATTTGATGAAGCTATCTTAATTTCAAATCTAAACTAGTTGCTTTTTGTGTCATTTCTTTTTATAGGCTTCTATCTCAAGGTCAGTCCCTATGCCACTGTCGAACATTTCAGTGCCAAAATCAACCATTTCACGTGTGCCGTGTAATGTAGAAGGAATAAGTCCTGAATTAGAAAAAGTGTTCATTAAAGAAAACAGTGGGAAGGAAGAAGTATCTAAGGTAAGTTTATATTTATATATTTTAGTAATTTTTAATTATTGGAATCTAGGAATGAGTATAAATCTCTAGAATGACTGAATAAAATTTTACATTAGGATTAGATTTAGGGCTAATCTAAATTATTCTGATGTACACTTTTCAGTCTTAAAGTTTATTTCTGACTAAACATTTTTATTGTCTACTTCCCATAGAAAATAAACACACACATAATAAACATGTTGTCTTAGTTCTACCTCAGAAGATTGGATAAGAAGTTATGCATTATTCTGCCTGCCTTTATGACCATATGATTAGATTTGTAATCTGCTAAGGTCCAAGGATTAATAAATATTGGCTTACTTACTAGACAAATTATTGCTGTAAGTTTTTTGCTTTTCAACTTGACCAAGTTATTTCTGTACCTGTAGGATTCAGGTCCTTTAAGTTAGTTAATGCTCTTGCTCTAAACCAGTCAAGTAGTTTACTTAAATACTTTGGTAGTTGAGTGCTTTTATGTAGCAAGATGAGAGCGCTCAGCAATATGTTAAATCAAACCTTTCTGTAAAACCAGTAATTTGGTTTTATCACTCTTTCTTGGATTGGTATTTCACAGTTTAACACATCTCACCATTTGGGCACTTTTCCCTTTTTTACAATTTCTTAAATATTTCTCTCCCTCCTCCCCCTCCCCCTTCACTTTATCCCATTCCTCTTAATTATGCTGCTTATCCTGTCTTAAATAACACTGCTTTATATATTTCAACGTAGTTTAAAATAATAGTCCTGGCTACTACCTTGGAAGACAAAAGGAGGAGAAATTAGACTGCTGGCTTTTTATGCTACTCTATGAAAGTAAGCAAAGTAAACTCATCCAGCAGTTTCTCCCAGTGTGACTGTCAATGTCTCCTATCTGCCTAATGCTTATTCTACTATGAAACCCTTCCAGTTAGTCGGCAGCTTTTTGTTAATGTGGTTCCCCGAACTGAACCAAGTATTATAGACACAGTTGTTCAAAGCCCTGGCTAGAGGGGCTGTTATCTTCTTGCCTCACATTGTGTTACCTCTGAATTTACTGATCAAAATATCATTGTTCCCTTTTCCCCCTTGCAGGGCCATCCATAGTGGGAGTGGGGTGAATTGGGGCACTCACCCTGGGCCCTGCACTCTGGGGGGCCCCACAGAGTGCAGCAGCGTGGAGCGGCGGCTCTGCGTCCAGCTGCTCAGTACCGTCTCCTGCCCTGCCACTGCCGATGCCGCCACTGCCAACGGTGGTGGCAGCTTCTTCAGGTCTGGGGCCTGTGGGATCAGAACGGGGGCGGGGCCCCACGTGAGCTGATTTGCCCCGGGCCCTTCACCCTGCTTGGGTCAGCTCTGCCCCCCTATAACACTACGTTTCACATTAAGATTAAATTTTTTTGTCCAGTATAATTCTTAATTCTCTCTAAGTATCACTGCTTTAAAGGTTTCCTTGTCCTGTTAATACTTGTTAGATTCTGTTTCTTTCAATGTTGTTAATAATGTTAATGATCGATAATGCATTTTTAGTTGTATTTGTTTTTTAGTTTATTAACAATATTTAGATAAGTCTGGGTGTAGCGTAGGTTCATATTAAACTGGATTTGGCTTCATTGCTTATCAAAGCCAAAATTTAGCCCTGTTTCCATTTGCAGCTCATTAAACTTCTGTCTTAATTTGATACTTTGGGACAGGTCCTAATTGAAGCTGTCTTGGACATTTCAGCACCTAAAAATAGGCGTCCCCAAGAACGTAGACCAAATAGCTGGGGGTAGACTCCTGTTAGATTTAGTGAAGTGACTTGAGGTTTGGATCTGATGATCTGTTTAGGTCCCTTCCAGCCTTAAGCACTGTGAAACTTCACATCTCGATGCCAAAGGCCCAGTGAAATGGAATAGGTAGTTTCCTCTGAAGGATAATTCAGAGCATCTGGAGGCACCTGGAGCTTGGCAATAGGAAACACTGAACAAAGAGTATGTCTGAATTGCTGCTTTTCTCCAAAACTGAGGTACCTGGCTTGGGGCACATTAGGTATTTCTGACTGCTCAAAGTTCAGTGTGCCTTATTGCTCTTTTCTGATATAACTGACTTTAGGGGATTCAAACTTGCCTCTTCCTTCCAACCGTTTTCTTACCACTAGTTGTTATAGAGTAGTCTGCATTGGGCTACCTTCTAGCCTTCCTGTTTAAATAAATACATAAATAAATAAATAAAGTGAACCTGTGGGCTCTCAGGAGTGCCAGAACTGAGGGTAGACAGTAAAGTAAGCAAAAAGGAGCCTGACTTGAGTCCAGTGGTTATGTCTTTTGTCTGGGAGGGAAAGACTAGGTGCCTGTTCTTAAGTTTATTTCTGCGCTGTTTGCTTTTTTTTTTTTTTGTAACTAGTGGCAGGGGGGTAAAAAGCATAAGCATTCCCTTAGGTCAGGGTTCTGCAACCTACCACTCCTGGAGCCATTTGATCTGGCCTGTGGATGTGGAGCTGTGGCAGCAGGCTTCAGCAGCATTGCCTTCCCCACCACTGCAGAGAAAACCACAGGCAACAGGTGCTGTCCCTGTGCCATCCCTGGTAAAAGTGTGGGTGGCAGCTGGGTCCTAGTTCCCACCTGTTTTTCAACTCAAACTGGGTCACTTCTGCTCACAGCCCAAAAAGGTTGCTAACTGCTGCACTTGGCTCTTATACAAAGGCCGGCAGACACTGTCACCATCCCCATCAGCTATACGTTTGAGTGGAAATACTGTGGTTGCTGCACTGCATACTGAACTGAATGCTGTCAGGTTGAGTTAGACACACAGCACACGAATTGACCGTGCTTCTCAGGAAACAAAAGCAGAGTTGGGGCGTCTCCTCCTCTCTGTTCTGAATTTCAAGAGGGCTTTGAGAATTAGAATCTGGATCAGTAATTCTCAACGAAGATGTTGTGGCACCCTGTGGGGCTGTGAGATCCTTTTATGGATGCTGTGGGGTGCTGCAGTATATTGGCACTTAGCTGTGCAAAGACCTACACAATTCACAAAATAAACCCAGAGATTTCAGACATGAATCCATAGTGTCAAAGACCTTCTGACCAGTTATGGTTTTTACAAGAGTTTTTTGCGACAGAAGATTTTCCATTGTTGGAAAAAAAGTGGAAGCTAAGACCTGGCATTTTTCTGAACAGCGCCTCGAGTCTGACAAGGTTAAGAACCACTGATACAGATACTCAGGATTGCTTATGAATATGCACCAAAGCTAAAGCTAGATACTTAAGGATCATTCAGATCCAAAATGTTGGTGTCAAATGAATTTGGGTACCTCATGATTGATTATTTATTTATTTATTTTTGCCTGCCAGATGCAGCTGGTAGACCCAAACCAGTGCCCAGGCAGGTGTGGTGGGGGCCCTGCCCAGCTGCCCAGAGGGGTGTTGGAGGCACCCTGGCCCAGATCTAGCCATGTGGGGGAAGGGGGTATAGCCTGGCCCCAACTTGGCTAGGCAAAGGGAAGGGAGCACGGGTTGGCCCTGAACCAGCTGCACAGAAGGAAGTGGGGCATGCATGGCCCAGCCCTGATCTGGCTGTGTTGGGGTAGTTTTGTGACTTAGCTTCAACTCGCTAGGATTCTGGCAGCAGAGCAGGGTGGTGGTATTAGCTGCCGCTTCTCCCCTGCTGCAAAATTTCCCAAGCAGTAGGGAGTCCTGTGGCTGGAGGCTGAGCACCCTGACTCTAGAAGCTTATATATTTTTCTCAGTATTTTATTAGGCATAGAAATTAGACATTATAATGCTTACTTTAAATATTTAGGTTATTGTGAGGTTTTACTACTTTCCTAAACTTCTCAAAAATAATCATACCTTTGGGGCAACTTTATAGCACTCCAGCCAGGGGCCTAAGACTGTTGCCTCTATAGAGGCCTGAACTTATAGCTGTGTGAAGTACTTGCAGAAGCCATTGTTATTTCGTATCGGACCTTTCTGTATTCCGGTCCCGTGTTGAGTTCTTAAAATAAAAAAAGAGGTGGGCGTAACATTATAGGACTGGAATTTTTTTGAAAATGATTATAAAAAAATAAAGTAGATCTTTTGTTTATTATGTGTATACTACTTCACCTTGACATTCTTTGGGGGATATTATAATTAATTGAACCTAATCAAGGTTTATTTTATGCAGTCGGCCTAGCTGAGTGAAGAGGGAGTCTAGTCTTAGATTTGAGTACCTGAAGTGATGGCTCAGCTCTGGTTTCAGCCCAATAGCAGCCTGGCCTCAGAGGGAAAGGGAGCATGACTTAGCCTGTGGTGTGTAGCATGGCCCCAGCCTCTCCCTGCAGGAGGGCATGGCCTGGCTCTATGGGGAAAGGGGTGTAACGTGGCCATGTGTGGGGAGTGGACATTGGTGGCCCCAAGCCAGCCCGGTGGGGGGGTGGACACGTGGCCTGGCCCTGATCCAGATGTGGTGGAGGGGTTGTGGCCCAGCTGCAACTGGCAATCCAGGACTTGACCACTGCTCCCCTGCTGCCATATTTCCTGTTCCCTGGGGAACCCTGAGTGCCAGATGTGATGGCTCTGAGGGCTGCATTTGGCTTGTGGGCCAGAGGTTGAATACCCCGATCTATCAGAATGCTAATACGCATGATTTGATGATTTTTTTAATACAAGAAAGAAAAGAACAAGTTGAAATGCCCAGTCAGTTTCTGTGAGTTTATGACCAGGAGATGTGAATTAGTTGCTCCATTTATTGGGTTTAAAATTGTGAGAATACCTGGTTTTAATGTACTTTATACATTATGGATGTGACTCATGGAATGTAATTCTGAAACATCAGTTAAAATGGTAAAAAACAAAATAAAACAAGACAAAAAAACAGGTCAAGCTTAAGCAAAAGCTTTGCTTACATTAAACTGTACCAAAAAAAATTAAAGGTTACAGTTCAAATTTAGAAACCTGAAAAAAATACTCATTCCTTGCAGCATAATGAAGGGAAAGTAGAGTTCTTCAGAAACAAAATCATCTATGGAATATCCGCAGGCAGTA